CTCGTCATGGGACAAAGGGACCTGGGCTCAGGCTGGGACAAGGCAGATGCTTCGGGAAAGGGCCCAGCTCCCCTCCTCTGGGGCCTTGAGTGGCTCAGGCTCTGTGCTGCCCCCCAGCTTAGTCTGGTGAACTGGGGACCCTCCCACCCCCAAGAGCCTGCGCTCACCCTGCAGGCTCTGGAACCCAGCACCCCAGCCAGGGCTAGCGGAGCCGGTCTCCGGGGCCTTTCCTGACAGGCAGAGCCGCAAGGGGCAGCCACCCAGCCAGGATAGAGGCTGGGGAAGGTCAGGTGGTGAGGCAGCAGCGCTAATAACCCAACCCTGGAGTCCTGGCTCCCATCCACCACCCCGCACTTAGGGGCCGTTCCCTTCCCAGCACTGGGAACCCAGGAGCCCTGGTCCCCCCCAGGCCCCATTCCCACAAGCAGCAGGTTCCAACAGGTGAGTGACGCCCTGCGCGAGCTCCCCCACCCAGCAGCTTTGCCAGTGCCACGGGGCAGCACTCACACCTGAGGGGTAGAGGGTGCTCAAGGTGACTTTCCTGGCTCGGATGAACCTGCCCACCTGCTCCAGGTCCCCCTGCCTGATGTTGTCCTGGAAGACGATGTCATTGGGGAAGCGCACCGTGCGGGCCGGCCTCAGGCGCCGGGAGCACCCGCGGTAGCGAGGCAGCAAGGCTGGGCCATAGTACTTCATGCTACAGGGCTCAAGCCGGCGAGAGCGCGCAAGGGCAGAGACCCACGACAGCCTGGGAGAGGGGGAGGCGGCGGCTCTGGGCCGCTTGCTCCAGCTCAGAGCGCTGCTCACGCTGCCGGTCGCTCTCCTCAGACCCAAGAGCCTCGGCGCCGCTTCTCGTAGGCTCCTCTTCCCACACGCAGTCTGTTCTGAGAGGCCAGAACCCCGTGGCCCCCTTATATAGACTCCACCTGGCTATTTCGGGGGAGCCAGCTCATGTTATTTACCAGGTTCTGTAATTAGCTGCCCCACCCACCAGCCTCCCACTTTGGGCACGAGTGCAAGTCTCCTCTTACAGCCTGCTTGTGCCAGCCGAAGGGTCAAGCTGCCTGCGTGACAGGCCCCAGCGGCACAGAGCCCACAACAAGAGAGGCAGGAGTCCATGAGGAGCAGTGTGCAAAGCCCCGGCTGGTCCCTGCCCAGGCAAGGTGGCACAGCCCAGTGGGGCCCAAGCCGCAGAGCTGGCTCCCAGGTCAGCTCACCTCGGAGCTCCTGGACGTGCTGGCTGTCAGCAGGACACCTGGAGCAGAGCTACCACAGGCCGTGGCTGTGTTCCTGCGCCCCAGCACCCAAGTGCTGAACGGGGCGTGGGGATTCCCACATCAGTTATGGGTACTTGAGTAGCAGCAACGTCTGCTCTGCCAGTGCAGGGGGTTTCCCATGGCAGGCCCAGCTCTGATGCTCAGCACTTGAACAGCCGGGCCCCAGGCTGGCCAGAGAGCCCCCAGAAGAGGGCAAGAGCCAACAGAAACAGTGATGCTTTGGGATTGGCCAGCAGCAACTGGGCAGGCAGTGACATCATCCCTGCTCTTGCTCACTTCCAGTGCCATCCTGCCCCCACCTGTTATAGGGCTCCCCAGCAAAGATCAGGCCTGAGGGATCCCTCAGCGCCAATGGGGGAGCAGCTCCCAATGCCGGCTCAGGAATACCTGTCCCCAGCTCACACACTGGCACCGCTGCTCTCTAGGCTGGCTCTTGCTGGACACTTTCTGCCAGGCACTTCTGCTCCACACACCGGCTCCCCTCAGCCTCCTTGGCAGAGGCCTGCCCTGATCTTGGACAGTCCAGGCTCATGCCGGCTCCTGCCTGAGCTCAGGGCAGCCACTACACAGCTCAGCCTTGTCTGCAGGAGAATCCCAGCCGCATAGCCAGCTGCCCAATGGCTCCAGGCTCCTACCCCACATTTGAACCTCAGAGCCTTTTGCACAATTCCAGCTGGGCAGCAGGACCCTGCCTAGAGAGCTCCAGGTTTGACATTTGAGTCAGACACAGGCTAGTATTAAAATCTCAACTTTATTTGGCCAACAAGTTCAGCTCCAACATGGTGGTGGAATGCTTAGACCAAGCCTGATTCTGCTCAGACCTGCGCCACACTCCTGTTCCCAACCCCCTCCCCACAACCCAGTAATCAGCCGTGTCCTGGCTGCTGCATTCTAGCGGCCCCCATGCCCCCCTGGCTGCAGGGAATCAGCACAAAGCACAGAAAGTGATCAAGGAACAGGCCAATTCTCAGTGCTCCACCCCCACCCGAGCAGTCAGCTCCTTTCATCTTTAAAAGGAAAAGGCAAAGGGATCAGCCAGGGACACGTCGCCCACCCGCCACCCCCAAGAGACTGCATTTGTGTGCCCCCGCCCCCATGCACTGAAGGGTGGCAATGCCAGGCAGAGGACCTGAGGGGGGGGCGCTTCTCTGGGCCCACTTCAGCAACAGCCTTTCAATTTAGCAGAGAACTAAGCTTTCCTAGCAGGCATCACTGGCGCGGCTGTGAAGTGCCAGGCAATGGGACTCGCGCTGCCACTTCACAGCCCACTTCTGCCCAGAACAGAATGCTTGGAACAAACCCGTGTACAAAAGAGAACGTCACAATAAAAAAAGAAGATGCCCAGGTGCCCAGGCGGCTACCTAGCGACAGACCCTTTCCAGAACTGAAGAGACAGTCAAGTGCACAGACAAGGGAGGGTGGAGAAGTGTTACTTGAGCCAATCCCTGCATTTCTAGCCAACACTTCTAGTTACATCTTAATGGGGCTCGACTCACTAGGCCCTGTGGCAGGGCACCCAGTGTAGTGTCTGCTTTGGGAGATGCAGATTTGAGTCTCTTTACAGTTCATCTCTGTGGAGTGTCTGGTCCTCCTCCTCTTCACCTTCCTCCAGCTCGGTCTCATCAACCTCCAGGTCCTCCAGGTCCTGCATTTAAACAACGCTTGTCAACAGCCGCTGGGCTGGATCTGGCACAACAGGCAGGACCCCAGAGTCCAGGCAGATTTAGGCTCAGCCTAGCGTAAGCTTAACTGTGGCCTACCCCACTTGCTCCAGCCCGCGCCTGCTCTGCTGCCACCTGGCGTGGTAACACGCTGCTCTGGCCGGTCAGGGACCTCACCGAGAGCCGCGTTACAGAAAAATAAACCCAGTAGTTAGACTCGAGCAGAAACCAGCCCCTCCCCCTTCGGAGCCGAGTCCGGTAGCGACCATGCAAGCAATGCAAGGACAGCACACGGGCTGGCCGGAAGGGCACTGTGCACCAAGGAGCCGAGGCAGCAATCCCATGGGTCTAGACCCACGCAGCTGGCCAGGCAGAGGATTTACAGGGAGACGAGGTCTCGAGCCATGCATGGCCTTGAGCATTTGAGACGATCACAGCTTACAGCCATGGGGCCATGCCTCCCAGCCCCAAGCAGCCCTTTGGCCTGCAGTGACCACCAGCCAGACTGCCAAGCCAAAGCAGCTCTAGAGGCTGAGAGCAGCCTCATCCCTTGCAAGCATCGCAGGCCGAGCATGACTCACCTCATCGCCAGCACCATCCTGGCCTCCGCTTTCCAGGAACTTCTGGAAGCCTTCCAACGTCCTCTCCCCATTGTAGTCTATGACCTGCAGGGCACAGCCAGGGGAGAGGCTGCTTAACTGGACAGGGCCAAGCCCGGCGGGAACAATTCTCTGAACAGCCGTTCCAAACAGCCGTTCCAAATGCACGAGGAAACGTAAAATCCACCTTTGACGTGAGACGAAGACTAGAGCGCCGACAGCCTGCAGGTAGAGCTCTGCACTTCCTCAGCCCCACCAGCCTAGCATCCAGGCCTGCCCCCTGGCGGGCTCACCCTCCCACAACTCAGCCCTTCCCCTGCACCGTTCAGAAGGTGCCAGCCTCCTTCTCCAAGCTAAGCCCTTTGCCCAAACGTGCTAGAGGGCCAGGTACAGTCTAAATGCCTAGCTCCTGCCGGAGAGGATCCATGTCCCTGGAATTCAGCAGCCCACTTACATTTTTGCCAGGGCCTGCAGGGAAGAACTTTAGCGTGGGAAAGCTGTGGACTTTCACTGCCTCCACTTCATTCGCTGTGGAGTCCATCTTGGCAATGACAATGTTGTCGTGGTCCTTGTAAATCTCTCCTAGCTTGTCCCAGATCGGAGCCAGCTGTTTGCAGTGACCGCACCAGGGAGCATCTGTGAATTAAAAGCAGCATGAAGCTTGGGGCCACTGGGTGTTTCTCAGGAGCGTGTGACTGGAGGGAAGGTGGGTATATGGGGCAGAACATCTTCAGCCAACAGGGCTGCTTCCCCACAACTCAGCTACTCACAGAACTCCACAAACACGTTCTTGGTCTCATCAAAAGCAACTTCTTCAAAGTTCTTCCCAACCAGAACTTTGACGGGATGTTTGTCCCAGTCATCAGGCAGGTCTTGGCTCATCAGGTGGGGCTGGAAACAGACCAGGAGCGGTGAGACCCCAGCAGCGTGGCACGAGAAGCCGAGTCATGCTCCCAGGAAGAGCCCTCTTCGCCCAGACAAACAGATCAGCCTTCCCCCCCCACTGCCTGAGGCATTCCTAGACTGGCGGTGCCAAGCACAGGAAAGGCTGCAGCTCAGTCGAGGGAAGAATAAGCCAACTTGCCCAAGTAGCCATTCCCATGGGACAGCGCGCTGCTGGCACAGCCATGCACAGCTGTTTCCGTCTGAAGACAGAGGATTCCCACCCTAAGCAAGCGGCTACGAGAACCTCTCAGCCCCCTATGCAGTGAATCGGAGGCAGTTATTTCTGTGCTGGCACCATGCCCACTGGAACTCTCAGCATGAGGCTCACTAGATATTGCCAAGCTAATCTGAAAGGACTTGCCCCACGGGACGTGTCTACGGTATCACACAGCTCTCGCAGGGATCACCCCCACGCCTCTGCTTATGACAGGGCCCCAAGGGCCGCCTCTGGCCCTTTACCTTGACTTTGCCCTCCAAGAACTGGGTGCAGAACTCCTGGATCCTCGCTGCGGTCAGTTCCTCGGAGTCGGGTTTGTACTTGGTCATTTCTTCCTCCAGAGTGATGAGGCGCACGGCGGGGCACTCCTCCTTTTTCAGGCCAAAGAACTCCAGGATCCTCTGGTTGTCGCTATGGTCACTGTCTATGAAGATGAACAGGATCTTTGGAGGGAAGTCAAACGCAGAGAGACATGAATTAATTCCCAGGGTATCGACACTGGGCAGCCGGCTTCCCCACCCATCTGAGCCACAGCAGAACACGGGCCACTTGATTCTAGGGCAAACACGGGGGCTGCAGTGGCCGAAGCAGCAAGTCCGTCAGGCTGACGTACGCTAGTCAGAAGGAAAAGCGAGAGTCAGTGCAGCCTCCTCGGTGAGATGTGTCTATAGCAGCAAGGGACTAAGGCACCCGGCTATTGGGAGAGCAGATACAGAAGGAAGGAGACAGCTGCAAGAGTCAATGTGACTCACGGGCCAGGAGCAACAGACCCTCTCCTGCTCTGCTCACCTTTCCTTTGAAGTTCCCAGCAGCTGTTTTGAAGTTGTCTAGTTTCTCTTGATAGTCAGTGACACTCTTTGGCAAGAACAGCAGGATGTGAGTCTTGATCTCACCTCCAAAGATCTTCGGAGCCGTCTGGGAGGAATACAAGATGCCACATTAGGGGCAGAAATCGTCCCAGTGCCAGAGCCCACGGGCTTTTCTGCACGGACCATGCCAAGGGAATCACCAACAGCAGCGTGTGAGGAGCAAGGTTCTCTTGCTCCCTCAGGTCTCCTGCTTATCTAGGTGCCAGGCAGCACAGCCGCTTGGGCTCAGAGCACACGGGGAGACAAGCTCCCAGGACCAGAAGGCCATACCTGTTCTGTGAACTCGATGACCAAAGGCAGCTGGTTGGACTTGATGAAATTCAGCAAGTTCTCTTTTGTAATGTCACCTTCAAAGTTGTTGCGCCCTTCATCGAACTGGGGAGACAGAAGGGTTAGCTTCAGTCACCGCCTACGTGCGCCAGGCAATGTGCTGCCTTGGCAGCCAGGCAGGCCAGCAAGTTCAGCACATTCCACGGAACAAGCCTCATCCGGGAACATCCCAATGAAGAACCAAGGCCAGGAGGGGTCAGCCTAATTCATGTGTCTGCCACCTACTGGTGAGGAAGCACATTTCCAGCCAACACCAGCAGCAAGAAACCTCCCACAGGCCCTAAACAACGCTCCTGCTCCGTGGGCAGGCAGGATGCTGGGCAGCAGAGGGCACCTGAACCCAGCTCTTGCCCTGCTCTGCCAGGTTACCAATGGATTCTGAGGCCCTGCTGTGGAGGGGGCTGCTCTCTCGCTAGGGATTGGCAGGGTAACTGGCACTTACCAGTTCCAGCCCCCAGTTAACTGGAGCAGGCAGGAGGCGGCTTCAGCCCTACGGGGTGCGCCACAGGCAGGGGCTGCTCTGGTCTTCCAGCCAGCTAGCACCTCCCATTAATTCTAAATGCATTGGAGATGCTGCTCCAAATCCCCGTCAGTGACTGGCAAGGGCAGGAGTCTGCCCAGCACATCCCTTAGCCAACACGCAGCTGGCATGAGGCAAAGTCCTCCCCCCGCTACTAGTCAACAGCAGTTTCCTTGGCCCCCTGGGGATGAGTCACCTCTATTGTTAGTGACAGGAACGCATCCCGGGGAGAAGCTGCAGCACAGGTGCCAAGTCCCAGTTCCATTAGGCCACCACCTATTATTGGCCTCGATTCTCAGAACCTTCCAAGCCCCAAGGGAATAGCAGAGGCACATCAAGGTTGAGACAGGACATGCAAGCAAGGGTCAGAGCTCACTAGTCCTGGCTAGTGATCTCTGTGGGACCCCACTCAGCATGAGAATTTTGTGCAGGTGACAATTCAGCTTCTTCCAATCCTCAGAAAGCTGGTTTAAAATGCAGTGCTCAACCCCAGAGAAGCCATACCACGGTGGGCACCTGTGAGCCCTTCTTCCACAACAAACTAGCGGGAGAGACCTGGAATTAGGGATCTTAAATTTCGATCAACTAACCAAATAGTTGACAGGATTTCCAACAACTATTCGATCAATCAATGAGAACGTCAGCATTCCAGCAGGGACTCTTGTACATTTCAAAGTTGGAACTCGGGCGCGGCACCATGCCCCCTCCCACCGAGCAGGAGGGGAACCGGCTTTTAAGCTGGCTCCCTCCACGATAGAGGCACAAAGGGAGAGGGAGAAGCGACGGGTCGATCAGTCACTTACACCCCTACCTGGAATCAAGCCCAACTCCAGACCTGCGTAGCTCCCAGCTGAATGGACAGGGACCGGACTCGTTTAACCCTCACTTGCTCAGAGTCACCGATTATTGCCAAGTTTGGTTTGAGGGTCCCTGGTATGTTCAGCGCTACCACGGCAGAGCCAGGAGCAAGCAGGGAATGTGGGGGCTGACGGACGTCCCACTGCTTTCCTGCAGACACATGCTCACTCCCACTGGCAGTCTAGCACCTGCCACTCAGCTGCTGGCTTCGGAAGTTGTTTCCCCACCAACACTCATGGCAGGAGCTGCCAAGCCAGGATCCCCTTCAGGGGGCAGAAGGCCCTAGGACTCTCTGGCTGCACTGAATGACTACATTGCCAAGGAAGTCTCGTGACTGGGGTCCCTGTAGCACCCGTGTGAGCCTGCAAAGCATCTGCTCTGCCAGAAGAATAGCAGCAGGAGACAAAGCTCTTTGGAACCAATTACAATTGCAGCTAAAAATTCTGCTCCTTTAAATAATGCTACAGGCAGGCATCCGACTCCAGTGGGGAGGCCTGTGCTAGGCAAGAGAACAGGGCAAGGGCAGGGAGGAAGCCAGGTACTCAAAGCCTGCTCATTAAGAGTTAGCACAAAGAACCAATCAAGTGAGAGCACTTCCTACACAAGCCAGGTGCAATGGTGACAGACAAGTTCTTCTCAGACAGACCTGCCCACTTCAGCTCGGGTCTTTGCTCCCGACCATGGTCGGACAAGCTGTAAAATCCTCTACAACAATTTCAACCAGTTGCTGGCAACAATGAAGATTCCATAGCAGCAGCCAGCCATCTAGCACCACCACACGAGATGCCCTGCTGCCCGTAGTGAAAGCAGCGTTTCTTAAGCTTGAGGTACAACTGGAATGGCCTCAGGGAAAGCCAGATGGGGCCCTACAAGTCTTAAAGAGACTTTGGAATAGCTACTTCCCTTCCACAGACAGGTCCTCATCTCCTCAGCCCTGGTCCTCATGTAGGTTGAAGGGCAACAAGCTATTTTAATTGCCTGGCAGTGAGATCCAGTTTATGCCTTCTAGTTCTGCATGAGCCCTTAGTGCAGCCTGCCTCTGTCTGAAAAACCTCAAACTTTCCTGATCAACCCTGCTGTAACCCTCAAGAGGCTAAAGCTGCAGCACCTTGAGAGCATGTCCAACATGTCCGACAACTGAGCCCACTGAGGACAAGGATTAAAGGATGCTTCAGCTAAACCAAGAGCAAGCTGAGACTGGCATGACATGGCATGGGGGGCACAGCACTAGGAGCCTGGACTGCTATAGCTCTAGGTAGTTTACTGTGAGGCAGAAGGAGGTGTCAGCAGCAAACTCCATAAATATTTGAATTCATAGTGAACATCAGCTTCCTAGCAGCCAGAAACAGGAGGCAGACGCTAACAGTAGCCAAGGGCTTGTGTACGGCAAGTTGTGGGAACGTGCCCAAGACCCCACTAAAGGCACGCTGTCCAGGTGGACTGCTATAGCTCTAGGTAGTTTACTGTGAGGCAGAAGGAGGTGTCAGCAGCAAACTCCATAAATATTTGAATTCATAGTGAACATCAGCTTCCTAGCAGCCAGAAACAGGAGGCAGACGCTAACAGTAGCCAAGGGCTTGTGTACGGCAAGTTGTGGGAACGTGCCCAAGACCCCACTAAAGGCACGCTGTCCAGGTGACTGACAACGCTGTCCCCTGCGGAACAGGGGAGTTACAGCTT